CCCCCCCCCCCCCCCCACTACTACTTCCGTTTCTATTATTTTGTAACAATAGCTTATGTTGCTCATTTACTTCAAATCACACAAACAATGTAACATAACAATAAACAGAGCTTTATAATGGTGAAAGATTTTTTTAAAATCGACCCTATAGTTTTTGAGTTATTTCAATACATAGAAAAATACAAATCTTTTAATTGTATATTAGTATAGATTACATTGTATTGAAGGTTTTTTGTTATTTACTTGTTTGTTTCGAGTGGATAGCACTCTTCCAGATTTTTCCATAGTTTTATTCATAAATACATATAAATGTGTATTTTTAGGTACGGTGCTATTAAGAAGAAGTGCATAGTAGACCGCGGGGTGCCGTCGCAGGTTGTGTGCGCGCGCAACATGACCTCCAAGTCCGCTATGTCTGTTGCTGCAAAAGTCGCTATTCAGATCAATTGCAAGGTAATTTTAACTTAAATTTTAAACAAAAGTTAATTTACAAATATAGCTTCCTGTTTAAAATGTAAAATATAATTATCAATAGTTAATTTAATAAATAATAATGTATAAAGTACTAAACTACCAAAGCTAACAAAATAGACAAAATACAATTGTGAGTCGCCTGTGGCAACACCAGCTTCCGGGCGACTCTCGCTCAACGAATAACATCAAGGAAAGAAGCAAAAACAAAAAAAAAATACCAACTTGTAACAAAGTTTACTTTCTTGGCTTACGTAGCCTAAACTATAAGACCTACATAAAAATGATGTATGAAAGAATTGTAGCTCATTCAATTAGCTAAATAAAGGACCGCGATACTATATAAATATCTCTTAAGGTTGTCGCACAATAACCGTTTGTTTCGCGAAAACCGTCAAATAAATGCAATCGACTTCATTTAAACGCTTTTATTCTGATTTGGTAGGAATCCTTATCCAAATAAATATGTTTTCACGATAGAGTATTAAATGTAGATCATAATTGCCTTTTACAGTATGTAATTCTGACAAAG